TTTTCATTTATTGCTACCCTTTAGGGAAAAATATAAAAATCAAATACTAAAGTGTAAAGTACCTACTTTACTCAATAAAATGCGAACAAAATATAAATACATGTCTCAAAATTTCAAGGTTCAAGGGGATGTTCCTTGGAATATCCTATATAAGAATCAATAATATAGTGCATCATAAACAACCCCATAATAATAAGAATATTCTGTCCTTCAATTTCTATTTCACCTTACTAAAAATAATATATCCTATATCTGTATTATTTCAAGAATGAAGATCACATACAAAAAGAAAAATATATCAATCAATAAATGCAAATTGAAACATGGAGATGAAAAATAGTACTCGTACATAAAAAATGTAAACAACTGTCAGTTTATCGATAAATGTGATGAATTTGTCTCCAAGATGCGCCATAAAATAGAGCTTTCTACAACGAAAAACTATTTTTTTTCTTCAAAAATTGTTGCTCTTTGTCATCGAACGAATGACACTATTATTCTTCATGATGTTTAATAATATAGCTAGAACTAAAATTCAATTGGGTCTGAGGTCTGAGTTAACCTCAGTTCAATTAATTTGGCTCGCAATGAAAATTCAAAAGTATCTTTTGAGACTCCTCAGTCATGACATGTTATGATTACCTAGGTAAAGGTGACTGGAATTAGGAAATCCAACCCAGGTTAGAAAACAATATGGCGCCTGGTTGGCACCATATATGAAATCAATAGACTGATGTTACTAAAACAATAAAATAGTTACTTCTGATATACCAACTGGAACTCGCGTATAAAAACGATTTATCACACATAAATAATTTAATTATGTGATAACCATAGAATAGTTTGACAGGTCATTGAATTGCCTAATTGGAGTGGTCTTCTAACCAAAAGTGAAATTTACTAATAGAGGGAAAAATAATTGAAGTAGAAATTGCCAATATCTTACGGTAAATATAATCAAAAATTCACTCAATTATAAGGTGAAAAATAAAGTAGCAATAGAAATAAATAAATGTAAATACAAACAAATTTCGAAAATGCATGTGTAGGTTTGAGAAGTGTATGTAATGCTTCTGGAATAATCACTTCGTAAAAAACCACACTCTTGAATTTTTTATGTAGAGCAAAAACTACGATTCAAAATAAGCGATACCCCCTCTTGCGGATAATCAAGGTAAACAATGTAAAGTACAGTGAATGTTTGTTTACATTTTAGTTTGCATGCATTTTATCGAAAGTTAAGTGGTCATTGTGATATGTTTCGAATTTGAATTCTTCAGTAGAGTATCTTGAATCATTATTATTATTATTGCTCGGTTTGACATGTTATTCATGAAAGTTTTCTCACTGCATTTCACAGAAAATGATAATTTCAATCAGTGTATGATTGAAAGGTTCTCTCTCAACTACGAGATTGGATTCAGTTGCATTTTATTCCCAGAAGGAATTTCAAAAAATGAAATCCTGACTCGAAAGCGAACCACATATTTTCAATCTTCCTACCAGATGTAGATCAATAATTATTTGTACATATCTACATCCAGCTTTGTGGATTTTTTCTCTTTCATGAACAGATGTAGATGAATCGGCTACAATATATAGATCTCAAATACCTACTCTGTGAGCTTCAACTTCATATTCAATCCACTTAATTTACAATATCTATTTTACTACTGAATGGGAACGAAATGCAAAATAACGTAACTTCAAATTGGGGCATTACAAATATCATGTACCTATGTGAAGTAGTGAAACATACTTTATTGAACGAATATCTCCTGACAAGCTCCATAAAAGTAGACAAATAAACAGCGAAAAGTGAAGTTTTATGGAAATAATACAAATACACACAAACAGATGAACCATTCCAAAACAATGTACTTTCTATAGGTTCCACAACCGATCATTTTGACGTTGCGATCTTGAATTCAGTCGCCTAGATTTCTACTAAGTAGGTATATGAAGTTATGAAATCTACCTAAGTCATAACAACGAAACACGAAACTATTACTGAAAATAGTTGATAGTTTCTTGTGCCCTAGAGCATTGATTAAACAATTCATCTATGCCTAGAGCCTATACGACTGGAGAACTAGTGGCTACCGCGCGCCTTGTGCAACTGTGTCGTTAAATGTTGATACGTCCGCGTACAATTTGTTTACCAGCAAGTCGTTGAACCCGATTCGCGAAAATATGACGATGCCGAGAGATAACCCAATTCGATGTCACTCACTGCACCACTTTTAGGCAGAGAGCCGTGGTTATTATCGCTGTGACCTCAATATCCAGGCTATCTTCGCCGAATGGTGATGCGACCCAATTACCTACATCGCCTTTGTTATTACCCGAAATTTTATTTAGCATTTTTCTATTCGGGTTGATAAACATACGCGGTAGCCTCGATAGCGTTCGTTCAGCCACTTACGTTTTTTATAAATAACCAATTATTGAATTATCGTTCTCGCATCGCACCAGTTTCACTGGCAGGTCAACGACCTGGAGTTATACTATACCTACAGTGACTAAACGGGATCAATACAAAACCGCTCTTGAATAAAAAATTAAATATGACGCAGAAGTTTCATTGATTGTTTTCATTGCTATTAATTATTATTATTAGGTAATAAAAAATGAATGCGAATTGAGCTTGATGGCAACTTATTGCTATTGCAATCATAAAACTCTAATGATGATAACTTGAGAAGATACACTGGTTTCATATCCACATCAGGTTTGGCAGGCATATCACCCCTGAACCTGCTTATACAGGGTGATGAGCAAATATCTTGATTGGTAATTCTACTTGCAAAATCATTGCAATACCTATATCTACCTACCTGATAGGTTAAGGTTATACACAGTGTCTCAAAATTTGTTTTTGATATCAATTTTCCTTAATTTCATTTCAAATTTGACTAAAATCCCATGAAATCAATTACTCGATTCATTTTCTCGATTCCCCCAGCCTAAAAAAATCATTTTCGACATGCAATCTCAAGAGACTATAGGTATAAAGATGTTCACAAAATCAAACTTCGTTATTCCTGATTTTTCAAAAAAATCAGTGGGATTTTGTTGCACCAATTATACAAGTAGAATTGTTACTTCTCCAGTTGGTTAATTTTACGGTCACCCTGTATAATGAGTGTTCATATTGATATTTAATGTTCAATTTAAATGCGAAGAAGCACAATGTGGATGTGAAATATTGTATGTTTTCGATTGCTAAGTATTTCATTCACACATGGCTGCACCACACATCATCTGTCACTGAAAATTGAAAATGTCTCGTTTTGGGACAACTTCCATTACGGAAATCAGCAATTATGTGAGCAAATCAATACCAGAAGATACCAAAAAGTGTATAGGAACAGGAAACAATTTGTCTTTTTGTCAGTAGAAAAACTATGAATTTTGTGCGACTATCCCAACTGTTCATGAAATGATCTTCCTAAATACCTATCACTCGAGCATGACAAATAGAGACCATCATCTCGAGTAGGTAAACATGTATTTTGAGACAATTCAATTCGACCATAGATAGCCATAGATTGTCGAGATAAAACTTTTTAAATTATTAACCAGTTGAGCGCCGTGAGGTATAGTGCGCGTGCCACACATAGTTTTGCTCCTGGGGCAGCGCGGCATATACACTGTGCCTCGTGACGGACTGTTATATTTTCTGGTGTGGTATCGTAGAGATGCCTCGCTACTGTACAAATCAAATTGGGGCTTGAAGAGTGTGGCCTGACGAACCATGCTATGGTCTTGGCCCGTGAATATTTTTTATTTTCGATTTTTTTTTCATATTTCAATTTGAAAGTGGAGGATGGTCTTGTTTTGGTAGGTACTTCACTATGAACGAAGAAAGCATTTAATTTTTGCATTTTTTATTCAAGAACATTACAAACAACGGAATATATTGCTTCTCATGAGATGGAAAGATAATAAACTGAAATGTATGCAACTAAACTGAACATGACATGTATGTCGCATGGCCCTATACCATATGATAATTCCCACAGGCCGCGCGGCATACAAGGCATGCCTCAGACAAAAAGGCCTATGAAAAAAAAACTAAATCACAAATCGACAAAATTCGTGGAGAGACATAAACGGTGATGCTCAATTATGTCAAAACCGATAAAAAAAAAATTGGTCATCTGGGACCAGATTTTTTCCTTGTACGGCGGCGCTCAACTAGTTAATATTTACACAAGGTAGGTACTTTCTATAGAATTATTGAGTAATAGACGGCTATAATATCCCATTTTGAGCACAAAACTGTGTGATGATGCATGGAGACCTCCAAAAAAAACTTGCTGAACGCCAATGCCAATGATCTAGCTACACCAAAAATTTGCACTCGCGACCCTACCAATTAGCGAACTCCCTCTAAAACCATCGCATACCACAAACTTTGTTTGCGAAACCAATTATTCTCTCTCTCGAAAAAAAAAGACAACAACGTTATTATAACTCGCGATCTAGGTATTAGGGCAACACACTCGAATTGACGAAACGCTATCTACTTCTCTCTCTCACACCCATACCTCGGCCACCGGTGTGTGTGAGAGAGACAGAGACCTCCACTCTCACTTTCACGCACAGAGCTCTGGCCAACGTACACTTTGGCGGGTGAACCACCGCTAACTAGGTCAGCCGGTTAAACTCTGACGATTCGCTCAGCCAGGCCACAGTAGTCTTTCGCATTGCTTACAGCTTGGTCGCGGAGCGCACTAAAATTCAATTAATCTTCGCGGGGTTACCAGGGTCCTCGCGGGGTTATAACTGTTTTTCGCGGGGTAACTATCGCGCGGTTATTTTCGCGTGGTTACCAATATTTGAGAAAATTTGCGAGTGATTCGCCGGCCATGGCCGTGTTGAATTGTACCGAGTCCTCGGTGCCAGCGGGCTTGAAAGCCCCCAAATTGGACGATTCGAGCAGTTCGGGTTGCGACAGTGACGATTGTTGTACTGAGCACGAATGTTGTTCGCAGGGTTTCTTCAGGCGTAGCATCCAGCAAAAGATACAGTACAGACCGTGCACGAAGAATCAGCAATGTTCCATTCTGAGGATCAACAGGAACAGGTGTCAGTACTGTAGGCTGAAGAAATGTATTGCTGTGGGAATGAGCAGAGATGGTGAGTTTTTCAATATTTTTTTATGTACTTACGAAGACAGTTGATAGTCTTTTGGGGGATAATTTAACATAAGACACTCTATGTCATTTTTCAATTCTGATGTTTTCATTGAAAACACAGAGCAATTTTACCTGACTTCATATATTTCGACACTGGCATGAACAAGTTATAAATCTCACGTTTTTATTTGGTTAAATGTGGCGATTTATATAACAAGTTACAAAATGACCGTGTTTTCTACACTAGATTATTTTACAAAATCGCTTTTTCCTTCGTTCACCCCATATAGAATTATGGTAAAGAGCTGAAGGTATATAAGCGAGCGCAGTTGCCTGGTTATTTTTCATTTTGTTTATTAGCATACCTATTCGGAAAATTACCCATTTATATTCAAAACTTGATAATTTTCAAACGTGATCGTCATCAGTTTCTACAACCCCTCTACTAATGACCAAGCCAAGTTCTGATGAACAAAAAGAACATTGGACATGAAATCTATCTTTTTTTTGAGCATCTTCTCCCCTTGATGATTCTCACATAATTTCAGTCACCATAATTTTACCTACGATTGTGTGTTGTTCTTTCTTGATTTTCTAATAGGAGCCCCATTTCATGAATATTCCCGTCATTCCCTTCATGATTACAAAATATACAGGGTTATTAAGTACTCAAGGTTCAAAACTGTTTGAATGACCAAAATTAACACTATTTTTGAAAAAAAAAACTAGCATAATAGACAAGGACTTTCATGCATGTATTTTTCGTCAAAACTCCAAAACATCATGTTCAATAATTGTTCTTTTCGTACTTCCATCTTGAATACTGTCAAATTCGCTGATTCAAACAATGTTTTATCTGTAATTATAACAATATAATAATAATAATAATAATAATAATAATAAGGGACACTCAGTTTGAACATCTTTCAAAAAAAGTTCTGCAAGGTCTGAAATCAAAAATGCAAATACCTCTTACCTTTCAGGTATTATTTTTTTCAGTCGTATATGAGCAACATTAATATTTTATAACTTCTCCTTTATAGGTCTAAAATAAAATTATATCTGATATTCGCATTTTCGTTTTTTACCTTCGCACAAATTCATAAATATTGACTTTCTTCGAAAAAATAATGATAAAAAAGTTTTCCATATGAATCGATCTTGCAAAATTTGTGAAAAATGATAAAAATCTCATTCTCATCCTAGATTGATAACATTAGATAGGTATTCGAACGTAATTTTCAATAATTTCAATTATTATAGTCAACTTTTCTTTCAGACAGATTTCGATATTGTCGAAATTAAAGGTAGGTACACGAAAAAAAATGGGATAGAACGACAGGCCTACAGTGGTGTGTCATATACTACTATAGGTACTTTCCTCTTGAGCAAAATTGATATTTTTTGACATACCTCGTATACAACGGAAAAAATTGTATATCTGATAGCTATTTGCATTTTCGATTTCAGGCATTACAAAACTTTTCATGAAGAATGCCCTTTTGTGAAAATTGATAATAAACAAGTTTTCCATTTGTTATAAACTTTTTCAGGCACACTGTACATATTATATCCATAGGGTTTTCTGAGCGATTTGGAAAAATAATCCTATCTGAAGCACCAATTTTCTCCAATCCACATTTTTAAATGCTTTTCGTCGCCATTTTCCATCCCCCTGATTAAATAGCGCTCCACAAATCGCAAATCACAGAGTCACCTACTCCAGCCTACTCCGATATAGGTCGTCCAGGTCCTCGGGTCAACGACCTCGGTGCGCGGATTTTCCAGCGGCGCAGGCATCAAGCAGGCGGGCGGCCGAGAAAGTTCAGATGGAGCGACGAGGTGAACGACCTGCGGCGCGCGATACTGGGTCATGCAACCCCGAGCGCGCGAGCGGTATAGCCCGGGAACTGGGCAACGATTTTTAGGCTGCGGTTCGGGAATAATAATAATAATAATATGATTTTATTCACTAGGTATATACAGGGTTGTTCATTGAAAATAGGCCATCTCTGAACTATAGATAGGCACCAGAATATAAAGATTTTCACTATTTTGCCCAACATGCCCTATAAAAATTTTGCAGTTACAGGATGTACTAGAGAAACATTTCATTTCAAATTTCTCCATAACTTTGGTCTAACATCTACTTTATAATTTCGTTTGCTGTTAGCGTTGTTAGTGATTGTCATCATTCAGAACTGTCTTTTTTCCACTGTTACTACGCTAAATTTAAAATTGAAAATAATAAAAATGTTATAAGTGAAACATAAATCTCTTCTAGATCGAATAAGGCAAAGAAGCGATAAAAGAATAATGAAGAGATAACTAAATGTTGGATCTACATAGTATATGTGAAACATGAACTCATTCAGTCACATGTATTCTATAGCATATTTACAATGATTATATTAATGTTAGTATTAATAAAACAACTAATTGGAAGAAATAAAGAATGAATTTCCACTGGTGCAGAATGAGCGGGATTCAATAATGCACATTTAGGGATAGCAAGATTCGTTGATTATGATGTTCGGTTCTTATTTTCGAAGATGAATTAATTTTCCATATTTTCTAATCCTACTTTTTCATTATACCATAATTTAGCAAGCAGAACCACTTCGAATTTTTTTATTTTTTCCTCGACGATAATTTGAGGTTAATGTTAGGCTAATTCCGAGGCTGATCCAATACTCGTTTTGTCGAATTCTTTGCTCTTTGATTCATGCAAAAATATGACTAGGTGCTAGCTTAACGTTGAAATAGCAAAACAACATCGAAAAGATAATCACACAACTTTTATCACCATAATTTAAGGGTTCCATCGGAGCTTATCGCATTTTTTTTTAATGGTCTTAGCATGTCTTAAATAGATGGAATATAAGTATATTAAGTATACCATAATTTAATGCTCAAATACATCAAATGATATTCGTTTATGTATTATTTTCTCCGACGTACTTTTCAATACAAAATTACTCTCACTTTTATTCATTATTTTATCATTTTTTCAGTACTTCTTGGGGTACTAATAACCTCAGTTTTCAGTATTTTGATTTCACAATATTCAGACTCATCAAAAATACTGTTTAGATCTTTTCTGAATAACATGATATGTAGATAGGTACTTGAAAATATTCAATATTTTCAAAATGTCTCATTTTAATCTGGATAAATCAAAATATTATGCGTAATCCTTAATTATTCTTGTGTATCCTGGAAAAGTGAGAATCCTGTATTTCAATGACTAATTTGAACAAAAAAAACCCTGAGGAAAAGAGGATTTTCTGAACTTGATGATGTCTATATCTCATATGATTCGTATTGCATTTGAAGGTGAATAACGAATTTATTCATACAAAGCTGTCCAGGGCAAAAATCACAATCGAATAATTTCCGTATATTTTGATAGAAACTCGGCGCAGCAGAACAAAAAAAAACTATATTTTCCCTCAAAATCTATATATAGATATAATCGAGAAACTGAACATGGAAAACAAAATCACGCTCTGTAAGGTTCGTATTTAAATATTTGATTCATGTACTAAGAATATTTATTTGGAATAATCGGATTTTTTCTAGTTTTAGTTCTTAACATCTCCCAAATAATATGGTAAAAAATAAGTACTATGACAGGTTTTGAAGTTATTGCGTTCGAATGCCTCGTCACCAAAAATGTTCACTGGCTCCCGGACTATTTCGTCCGTAGTTTACCCACCTCCGCGCCAATCTCGCAACAGCGCGGCGCTCTTGCACAACCATTGCGGCGCTAAGCGTGTTGAGGCCAGGCCAGACCAGGCCGTCAAACTGGGCTTGAACCCGAGATCGTTGTGCTACATATCGGATACACTTTTACTTCATTGGACCGTCCCATTTTACGCAATTTCGCTTCAGTTCGAGTTGGGAAATCTCTCTAGAGCTGCGGTGCCGTGTCTGCGATTTAGTACCTAGATATGCTACTTTTCAAGAAAATCTACTGATACTGTCGAGAATGTTGGTATCGTATGAAGGATGTTTTTTGAAGGAGTAACAACATTCAGAAAACTTAAATGATTCAACATGAATTATGGTTTATCATTCTGGGCAGTTATTTGAAGAATTTTGTTTTATGGTTTCAATAATACGAATCTTCCTCCGGTGTTCAAACAAGTATCTTATGACTCTTATGCACTCCAGGGAATATGAGGGTTCTTTAATGCTTTTACTTGAGGGACTGAAGTGGCACTTTTGATTCCACAAGGATTCAAATTAAATACTGGCATATTTTCTCAAACGCCATACAACGCTTTCAAGGCACATCATACTTTCCGATGTCAACAACAATAGGATATCTACCCACCATCTTGTCATCTTGATTATTTTATTTTTAGTTTTTTCACTCCTGAATTTAATAAAATAGTACAAAAACCACGGGACTGAAGTAATTTTCAATCCCTCAGCGACTTGTGTAGGTAGGAAACTTTTCGCATCGGGATTAAAAGTAGGTAATACTGCTTTAGACCCTGGCTCTATTTTTAGTATCAAAGCTATAGTTTATTTGCCAATTCCCTATAAAACACTATTATAATGACAAGAAAGTCTATTTGGTGGAAAGTGCATTCAGGTACATACTTTTAGGTAGAAAGAAACCTCATTTTTTGGTTGTGGCAACACTGTTCATGAGTGACTCTGTACACTTTTACTTGATCAGTTTGTTGCACTTGATCATTAGGAGAAAGTGAAATTGTGTATTTGAGTTCGATGAAAGCTTAGAAGGTTAGCTGGTCTTCTCTAACTTACGAGCAGGAGAAAGTTTTGTTTCGTAACTCAATTGAAACAATAAACAATTGTGATGTTTTGTCGGATAATAGAAATCATGGTTTTTGAATTACTCACTGTTAATTGCTCAATATTTGAAATTATTAATAATTGGTGTTTCTGAAGCAAAATTATCAGATTTCGTGAAACAAACTGTATGTGTAAGATATGAAAATAGGAGAATTCTACAAGGTTTTTTGAAAT